CTGGCAAGTTGAAGTCCCCCACGAGAACAAGGGCTAGCGATCTTCCACCTGCTGAAAGAAAGCTACACCCACTGGACATAATATTTTTTTGCAGGTCTGACAAAGTCAATGGGATAAGACAACAGAAACATTTTCCCTTCTTTTCGCCCACTTTCCCAAATAAAGCAGGACATAAAGCAACATAGCTGCTTGACTATTCTTCTTCCTATGATGTGGACTATCTTGAGATGGACAGATACTAAGTCTCCACATAATAGCTAATGCACAGAGTAAAGCCAACAATTTTGGTGTCTTTTTACTGTCTGAACATATTTATTGCCTCTAACAGAGAACTATCAAGGAAGCAGGCAGGACAGGAAAGTATGGTTCACATGAAGTCATTCCTTAGCAAACATCCTATGTTGTTAATTGGCAGCTGTGGAGCCACTGATTCAGAGGATTCTTGTTCAGTGATCTGCTAGCTCTATCTAGTTTTCTAGCTGTTAGTTTTGTGGACTCAGAAGAGACAAAACTCATAAATGCAAACACAAGAATTCTGGACATTTATGGAGTCTTTCCTCCAGAGGCCATGGGAAAAGAAAGCCAATTGTTCAGAAAAACAGAAGATGATACAAGCTCTCACAAGGGGATCTGAAAAAGACAAGCAGACTAGGTTGTGATCAGGACTATCAAGTCTGTAAGTAATGTGCAGGCAAACCCCCTCTTGCTTATCGCTCTTACTACCTGTGTTCTTGCTAAGTAGTCCGCTGGCTTAGGCTGGCTGCCTGACTCCTACCAGGGAAAACTAGAATTATCAAACTCAGTTCAGCATATTATTCTATACACATGTTGAGGGCAAGGGAATTGATGAGAAGACTTCGTTTCATGGACAGTTTCATGTTCAAGACCTACAGCTGAGTATCTCTCATGCTGTGAGCCATGAGCTGCATAAAGACTTATCAACCTGGGCCTATCTTCAGCTGGCTGAGAGCTACAAAGGTTAATCTTAAGTTTTCCTGCTACTGGGACTCTCACTGAAACAACAAAGAAGGAAGTCATCCAGTCCTAAACAGCATGGATGAGGCTGCCCTACTTTTGCAGGAGAAAAAGTTTAAGCATATGGACACAAGCTGTGCTGGGTCATTTGGCCTTAGGGTCAGAGAACAGGCCCTGACCTGATTTTACTGAACAGTATAAATACAGCTGCTGTATATGATCCTCCACATTCTGGCAAAAGATTTAAGAAGAGAATGCCAAAGATAAGAAAGCAGTTAAATCCTGCTCTCAGGTCAGTAAAACCTGAAATTGCAGCTAAAAGAAGCAAAGCTAAATAGCCTGCGAAGTTGGCTATGTGCTGGAGGAGCACAAACTTTACCTTTTCTAAGATGTATCTGAGTACAGCTAGCACTCCCATGAGTCAAAGTCTATGACTACCCCTGCAGAGTGTGTAAATATTCAGCTGGTACATAATTCCCTAACAAAGCAGCTGCTCCTAATTTGCTCTTCTCAGCAATGTTACCTCTCAAATATATAATCACTAAAGGTTATAGAAACATCAAGACAAGGAAAACATATTTTTCACTATGGATTGTCCTCATTTTACTCCTGAAAGGACTCTATCAAAATGTCTACATACAGAATGTTTCTCTCAATAGTGAGTCATACCAATATATCTGTGTCATCTTAATACATGGCTATCCAGAAGAAAATACTGTCATTTTAGTCACTACAGTGGCCCTGACAGTTCTATTGAAGGTTCTGTGATTCATTCCCTGAAAGAAGAAACTATCTCTATGATAATAAAAATATCTGGTTTTAATGAAGTCAAAGTGCTAGGCATAATGAACTTCATTTTAACTCAGAAAGTTAAATTTTCGCTCCAACTTCAAGTGAAAGTAAAGGGGGCAGAAATCCAACTAGTTTTAAGATAGACCTTGCTTGGTTTATAAACAAGGTTATACAGCTCAGTAGTCACACATACTGTTTCCATTTCTTTGGGAGAAGGCCATCAGAACAACTAAATTCCAGAGTGAAAAATAAATTCTGGTCACAAATCTGAACATTTCCAACTGCAGATAATTGATTTATATTGTTAATATCATACTTAGAGGTACCATGAGTACTGACAATCCATTTTAAGACTACAAATCATGCCTGTAGAAGAGAAATCACTGAAAAATAGGCCCAGCATGTCTTTTGAAAGTTTTCTATCATTAAGAAGAAATTTTAAAAAAAGGATACTTTGGAGGTATAGAATTACTTATATACCAAGATCAGATCCTTGGTGCAGCTAACCTATGTTAAGTCAAAGGTTTATTCTGGAAAAAAGCAGAGAAAGCCCAGAGAAAGACAGGAACGAAATACAATTTGTTGACAAACTAGCAAAATAAACACAAAGCCCTCTTGCAAATGTTTCTGAAAACTGTAAATGATTCCTAGACACATTTTTCAAAAGCTAGAGAACTACTCAAGTGCTCCTCCAGTCCCACAATGTTACTAAACATTTAAAAATTTATTAAAAAGATGTGTGTTTTTTTAGTTTGATTTGCAGAATCTGGATGGCTTTTGTAAATTTGAAAGGTTTCGATATGCTGTGTGGTAAGATCTTGACTTCAAGAGATCAGACAAGAACTTTACAGTTAAACATTACAGTTAACTTTACATTTACAGTTGACATTACAGTTGAACTTCAAGTTATGACAGCCTATCTGATGTTGCGTTGTTCATAAAACACGTGAATAAACAAGGCAATCTCTTTAGCTCTTTTGCAACCTCACTTTCTATTATTCTAGACATGTTTTCTTAAAGCATGAAAACGTATTAAAACTGCCCACTGCTATATACTTTCAGAATGATGGCAAAACCTGCTGTCTTTTAACAGTCACATTTACAGAGCACCTTCTACCTACCAGCACTTCCCCAGACAGGCTAAGGTCTTGCTTAATAATTGACATAATGGGAGAGCATTTTGTTCCACTCCTTGCAAGAGTGACTCTAAGTGACCAGCTGACTTCAAATAACTCTATTAGGAGGTTAGTGTCCCTCGTCCCCTTACATGGCCAATGGGATAGAAATACTCAACTCCTCAATGCAAGTCAGAGTTAAGTTTCAATCACGTGTTCTGAATTGCTTTCAAAGGAGCCACTATTGATTACAGAAACTAACTCCTACTGGAGACTTACTTTTGCAAGTAAGTCTTACTTACTGCATACCAAAATCCTGTACCTCTAAATGACGTGCATTCTAACAGGGAGGAAAATTTATGGAGATCTACTGTGAATAACTTCTTGGGAAAATTATACTTGTATCTACATTGTGAACCATAAAACATAAAGCACAGAGCACCTTTAAGTGATGCTGTGCTGTAAGAAATGTTGAATGTCTCCATCAAGTGAACTTATTGAATGGTAGGTTCTCCAAATTAATTTTTCTTGTCACCATATTTGTGAGTTTTTTCTGTCTCTTCATGTAGTCAGTATTACTGTCAGCTCCTACAGTGAATGAGATACAGTGTAAACCACAAGTATTGTTTTGTTCTTATAGCCAAGTACTTTCACTAAGTAATGGACTATCAGAGTCTGCTGGAGAAAGACAGAGGGCTCATTGGAATCAAACAACTGGAAAAAGCAAGAATGCAACATTTCCATTTCCTCAGTAAATGCATTTCGGCTACTGGTCCAAAATTAACTTCCAGAGAACACTGGTATGAATATAAGTATCATCATTCAAACTTCTATAAAATGTGGAAATACCATTTCTAGTTCAAAGGATAGTTTTAAATGTCTTTATCAGCTCTAGCAAACTCAGATTAGGAGGCTACCTTTGATTTTGCAAGACGTTCTATATTTTCAGTGGGGTCAGACCCCGTTGATAAAAAGCATGTCAAAGGTGTTCGAGAATCGCTTTCTGTCCACATTGCTTCCATTTCAAGAATAAATCCTTCCACATATTTCCCTCCAAGAGATTCTGCAATGTAGTGTCGAGCCTAAAAAAAAAAAAAAGTGACCAGAAATATATACCTTTTATTTTTTTATTTAGCATTAATCACTGATGTGGAATTTACCAATACCTACATTGGAAGGCAACACCTTTCTAAACTTTCATTTTCAACTTTGGTGTAACAAAAGTTACAGTCCATAGGAGGCAACCATTGAAATTCTCAGATAGCAGACTTCAAACAAAAAAAAGAAAGAATTCTGCTCACACAACACCCATCCGATGAACATTGTTGCTAGAGGATGCTAAACGGTTTTTTAAAAAGAGCTAAAGAAATCCATGCAGAATAGGTCCACTGTCAGCTCTGAAGACAGCTCAGATATTGCCCCTAAATTACTGACTGCTAAAGCTTGGTGGATAGCCAAACAAAAGTTTCTCTCTATATATAGCTCCTCTAAGCATGTATTGTTGACACTGTCTCCACAGCATAGCAGATTAGACAGATCTTTCATCTGACCAAGTTACAATCTTCCATATATTTGTTGGAACTTCAAACAAATCCTCCTGTCCAGTGGTTATCCAATTCAAGTGTCTTATGCTGAATATCTATTTCTACAAAGCATAAACACAGCTCAGACTTTATCCTTAAAGGTCAAGCCTTCCTTTATGCCTCTATTGTCCTCTTTTCACAGACATTTTCTAAAAGGACTTCTAAAGCTATCCTGGTCTACGAAATTTTTTTTGACTGACATGATTTTCCAACTGTGTAAACTACTAGCACAGATTCTGAGGCATGTATTATGGAAAGAAACACCCAGGAACAAGGTGGACTGAGGAAGACACCAATTCCAGAAAAAATAACTCGAACACCCACTATTAACTGTAACTTCTGCCCTAGTGAAAAGAGGTAAAATTTTGTAACGCCTGGGGAAACACAGTAGAGAAAGAAGAGATAAAGAAGATAAGAACAAAATGGATTCCCTCTTTCCTCAAAAATTAAAATGATTACAGTTTTTGAAACCACTGTTCGGAGACATTCTTTCTCAAAGATGATTGTGCAAGACAATGAGTGTTGATAAATGAGCAGTAGCAGCTTTATTATTTTGGTCTGTTTAAATTGTGGCAGATGGAGCTCCCATGCTTCTCTCTTACTTACCAGCTGAAAAGAAGGAAAGGAAAAAGGATGGAGGGGATCTGGTTGAAAAAGAGGTCCATGAAAAAATGATGTCCCCTAAATACAACACAGATACTATCACGTTTAACATGTTGAGATATGCAGGAAATCAGAAGTACTACTTTCCAGCATAGCTAAAGACAAAAAAAGTGAAAAGAGGGTACTCATAGGCTCATACATCTCTTTTAGACCTACATAGAGAAGAAAAATCCAAATATCACAGACTGTGGAGAAAATTCTAGTCTACTGCAGTTTCTTTTATGCCATAAGACAGTCTTAATTATTACTTCCTCAGCATGGAGGGTAAGTAAACAGTTTTTTCTGCTATTTTAGTGTACCTGTTATCACAGTGAACTGTTCTCTTTCCACTTCTTCTGTGAAAAAATAGGGATGTATCTTCCAATTCACCAGAAGAATGCAATTGCTTTACAAGTTTCATGACTCCACTTTAGAAGCGCCACACAAAAAGAATGGTATTCTTACAGCTCCAACACAATTTATTTCATGTTTTGCAATGCCTTTTCTAATTAATTACAATTAAATAAATTACTATTTCTTTCACATATATTTATTATAAGGATTTCAATATCTGATTTTCAAAATAGCTCACTCTGCAACAAATATTACAATAAAAACAAATTCAGAGAACGTAATTTTGGAACTAGCAGTTCTACAGGAGATGCCACATGGCATAACCATTGTACGAAAGCAGATCTTACTTGGGCAACGGTATGATCAGGGCACCAGCTACGGACAAGGAGCAGTTTACGGAATTGATCCAGTAAGCTGTCATACCCATCAGGAATAACAGCTTTTTCAGGTGATTCTTCATCAAACCAAGCTTTCCAAGACTTCTCATTCCTAACAACTTGCACCAAAAGTTGATTAAAAGGGTACAAGCTAGATAACTGCACAAGATTGAGCCATGTCATGTCAAGGATCCACTTTTTTGGTTTTGGTTCCACAGAATTCAGATCCAAACTGGCACCTCCTGCAAAGTAAAAAGCATTATAGAGGAAACCAACCATTGTTAAACAGAAAAATGACAAGTAATAAAAAACATTTAATTCTATAATTTAGAGAGTAAAAATCTTTGTAAACCAGGACATGGAGACCTAGAATTTGCATGGAAGAGTCATTTAACAAAGACCTACTGGGGAAGTGGTCTCAGTGCCTCCCAAAGCTGATATCCCAGTAATTTTTGTGCTGCTTTTTCTCCGTCTGTAGAGTTGGAATAAAACTTGCCTACCTAAAAGGATACCCAAAACCAAGTCTTTGTATCAGGTGTAGAAAGGACCTATGGTTAGTCCTTCACCTAGGCTACAAAATAAGCACATTGTGCGTTCATTTCCAGGACTGTGCAACTTCAACAGCCTCTTAGCTCAACCACCACTCCAGCATCATGCCCATTTGCACCTCCAACACAGCTGAGTCACAGCTGAACATTAAATCGGTGTTTGCAAAGCAAACTGAGGTATTTGGATGGCAAGTACCTGACTGTACTTATCTTATCTCAGTACCTGATTGTACTTATCATACCTTGGGGACAGTTGGGTCCACCCCCATCAAATTTTATAAACTTTACTAAAATTTTTCTTTGTCACTGTGTCTGAGTAGTGACATGCAGTGGTGGCATAATGCAATGTTTTACAACATGTAACAGATTTCCACTTTTTTTATACTGACACTTAAATGTGGTACAGAGTCCTTATGCATTCACATGCCTGCTCACCAGCCATCAAAAGAGATTTTGCTGACTGCCTCCAAGCTCACAGACATAGGTATGTGGCAACTCAAAAAAGAGGAACACAGGAGAAAACTATAGGGTCTCTTACAAAGTCATGGACATTTTTTTTTTCTGTTTTGCAATGTAAAACAGTTAAATATCTTCATCTAAGCATTATTTTGATAATAAATAATCTATATTGCTCTTGTTTTGGAAAATTTGTCTCTTAATTCCTTCTTGGATTATATATGCTTTCATTTACCAGTTTAAACACATTAGATCCACTGGATATAACATATTGTTAGTGCAAGCACTGCAAAATCTGAATTTGGCAGTTCACAGACATGTAAATAGGAATATTTTTAGAGCAATTACCTTTGATCAGTGTCTCAAACTCAGTGTGTGAAACCTTCTTGGCCTGCAAGTCAATCTTCAGTGCCAGAAGCAATGTAAACAGGAATCTGTGATTTTCATACAGTCCTCGAACTGTGTACTTGAAGACTTCATAGGTGAGATGCTCGATTACATATACTACCCTTTTTGCTGTGATCTGAGATTTCGGAGATCTTTCCACTGATAGGTCAAAAATGCCAAGGAACTGCCGTAAGGATGTTTGGTACATGACATTAACTAAGCTCATTTCCACAATTAGGAAATAAAGGATGCTACCACGACCAGCAACCGGCCGATACTCTTCACGTGCAGTATTGATTTTCACCTCTGTCTCCGCTGCTATGTTTAATTTTTCACTGACCTTAAAATTAATGGAAAAGTCCATGAAGATTAAGTCATGTCACTTGTGATTTATACTGCACAAGCAAAAAGAAAAGGTCTTGATTAAGATCACAACGGTATTTTTAGTCAAGCTTTGCTTCCCTCTGTCAGTGTTTCAACACAGACATTGTGTCTTCATGTGTTCAAACACCAAGCACAATGGGATTTAATTCAAAATTACACCTGCAAGATATGCCTGGAATATAAAGCAGTATCCAGGTAACAGTTTAATTTTGCAACATTTTATGAAGGAAAAATGATAGCGTTTCTACTATTTATTTGTTAAGAAGTCAGATGTTAGATAAAAACTGTCTACAAATAATGTTTAAATTACAATTACAAAATGTATCTGAAATGCATTAAAAAATCACCTCTTCTGCTGTTGTTTTAGTGATTCTTAGGACTTCTATCAGAGACTCATCTTCAACCAAAGAGCCCTCTGTACTGGTTAGACGGAAGAGTAGATTATCTTCAAGCTCCTGCATTTTCCTCTTGTTAGATGTCACTTCTTCCATCAGTTTGACTCTTTCTGACTCCAGTTCCTGTATTTAGAAATATTCCTTAGAATATTTAAGATTAATTCAAAGAAAGATTCCTTATAATGACACAGAAAACATGTGATTTCATGCATTACAGATTGAAAGCTTTGCTGCTTTTTCTATAAAATACAGAAATATTATATACTAAAGTAATTTATACGTATACTGCATTTATTTGATTAATGCTGCATACTGAGGAGTGAAAACACATCAGAATTACCAGGAAAAGCTTCCTCATAGTAGGATGCACAAAGCACTAGAGCTAGTTTCCAATGGGAAGTGATAAAAGCCATGTTACATTAAATACTTAAAATTAAATCAGACAAAGGACTGAATGATGCATTGTATGAATGGATTTTACATTCTTAGGGAAGTTGACCGGATGACCTTTTCTAGTTTCTATGATTCTACAACTTCGCAAGATACGCTTCTCTACTGCTTATAAAATAGAAAATGTTACAATTATTATTGATGTCATATGGAATTTTTATGCTATTTCTACAAGACAGACAATGGCAAGGGAATAATGACAGACAAGCCAACACAATGCCAGGTTAAATGAGGCATCTGTACTGCACAGTCCAACACAGCTCAGGGATACCCTTGCTGGCTACCTTTATTTAATCAATCAAATCAACCTTCCTGTAAGGAAAAGGATAGTTAATATTACCGGTCTACCCACACCTATGGCCTCAGTTTATTTTCATTCTTGTCAACATGCCAAGTTAGAGAAAAAGGAGATGTACAGAGTTATGCAGTACAGGAGAGGTTCTCCTGTATTTCAAAGAAGTGACAAATTGCTTTACTCTCACAAACTTACTTGGAAACCTGTTTGTAATATATTCTAGGGCTACAGAATGTAGCTCTGTGGAAGCTACAAACAACTGCATCCCAAAAGAGGAGAATGACTTAAGCATCAGTCATTCAGCTTCAAATTTTCTGCATTTTCTCCTCTTTCTGTACCATTAACACAAAAAAGATTAAATTGCACAAAAGGAGTAGTTCTACAGAGCACTCAAACATGCACTTAAGTACATGCTTAAATTCTACTTAAGGACATGCTTAGTTTAAGAACAGGCACCTCATCCATTCTATTTGTAAGCCTGTAAAAAGTATCTTTCAGAAAATTAGCAAATATGCCAGATGCCAGGCTTTTGTTTCCAAGGGAATTTCATGACCGCATTTGTAACATAAAAAATAGCTGTTCTGAACACAAATAGTGGCAGCAACTTCATTATGAAAGTACAAAACAATGCTGATAATTTTTTTTTTTCCATATAGTTACAGGAGCAACCTTTCAAGCTGAGAAGAATAAACACTTCTTTGATCATATATTTCATTGATCACTATAGCAATCTTTAAGAATGTCTCGGTTCCTTTAACCTATTACTTTAGCTCAGTGATCATAAACTTGTCTTCTTATTTGTAATAGAAAACCTGTTCTTCAGATTCTCTGTTCATGTTCTGTCTTTTCTTTGAACTAAATTTATCAGAGCTCCATTGGCTCTGGCTATCTACACCAGGACATTCATCTCTTATTGAGACAGAAGAGACAGAACAACCATGATTTCTTTGTATCTGCTAAAGGGAAGAAGTTTAAATAAATGTTGATCACCTGCAACCATGTCCCTGTGCAGCAAATAGTGCTGATACTAACCAGCTACCCTTGCAGCTCTCTTCAGCTGATACACAGCACTGGATGAATGTTTTTCAGTAACTGTATTTTTGACCCAAAATGCAGTCTAGGTATTGCTACATACATTCAATATGATTTCTCTAACAGTTTTGTCCAGGTAAAAAACATGGAGTGAGGGTATCTGTGTGTGGGGAGATGAGTTTTATATGTAGGTCAAGAGAAACCAATTTCACTTCTACCTTTGTCTCCCATCAGATGCAAGTTACTCAATCAGGATGGTCCCAGCCACTCCTGCTGATGCTGTTCAATTTTGCTTACATAAACATACATCTACTGGAGTAAAGATTAAAAGTTCTGCATCCCTAGCATTTGTCCCACCCTCCTAATGGATAGCTTTTCCTCGGTATCTGCTGTTGTAGCTTTTCCATTTTTCATGGAACAATTCACAGGATGTTTGGGCGTAACAATAACTTTCTACCCTCTGATTGTGACTGTCAGACTGAAGGAAGGGCACTTAGATTCCAGTCCTTACTTCCACAAATGCTCATTTGAGCAAAGTGGAAAGGTGTTGGCCAGAGAAAGTGAAAGCACCACTAAAGCACACTGGTTAGAACATGTATTATTAGGTAGTTGAAGAAAGAGGAATGGATTCCCTTAGGTGGGGAACTGCCCCCACATGAGCAAGCCTACTTGAGTTACTTACTGAAAGCAGCAGCTCTGCTAATCCAAACCTTAATCTTTGTTACTTTTCTCGCAAAGACACAATTATGAAATGTTCCATTTGAAATAAATAAGTCTTTCAATTTGATGTGAAATACAACTTCTGTGCTTTCACTTTAATGAGAAAGGAAGCAAATATTTCATTTTAGTGTAATTGGACCATAGCATTCATGTATTTATATGTATGACTGCCACAGTAAAAACCCCACCATTGTCCCCAGTGCCTATGATGAATTGACTCCTAAGTTTTTGGATAACCAGGCTGTTAAATTAGATCACACAAAAAGAAACAGGAATGATCAAGGAATTAAATTATTGTGGATGATGTCTCAGATTTGATATTATGAAATATAACTCCTGAAGAACACCTGAAAAAGGATTTTCTTCCCTATATTTGCTTCAACATAATCAATGGAAATTTTAGTAAGAGCAGAGTCAAGTCAGTGTTCAGGGCTCCTTAAAAATCTCCTATCTCCTTGCACACTAGAGCCTGGCTGGCAAAAGTAGTTCAAGTTCATAAGCATTTTTTCATGTAATTCAAATTAAGTTTAAAAAGGAATTCAGAAATAAAAGAGGTTTCTGACTGAACAAGGAGCCTTTCCTTGAAGGAATAAGGATGCTTTATGTATGTCATGTGATGTATTCTTAATGAATAATTTTCTTTCTTCTCTTTCCAAGGCCAGATCTTAAAATAAATGTTTAGGTCCCTCCATTCAATTAAAAACCAGCTCCACATTGTCTTTCAGCAAATGCACAAACCCCTAAACTTTCATTCACTTTTTTGTTCTTGCATCTGATTTCAACCAAGACATTGAGTATATCCACTCATGGCACAGATATTGAACAAGCCTTCCCTCTATACAAATACTGCAAGCTACTAGATACCTGTTTTTCTGTGAGGATGACACGGCCAAGGAGCTGATCTTCCAGCCCTTTCATAGTAACAGTAAAGTCAATCACAGTTGTTCTTGCACTAATTTCTGGAGTATAGGCAGGATTAGCCAATTTTGTCGTCATATAAAGGGTAAACCCCTTCATCAGATCTACCTCCTTGTCACCTACTTTCACCTGAAAATAAAACATATTACTCGATTTTCAAAAGCTGAATTCAGAAAACCAGTTATTTTATCCAATGAAAAATAGATGAACTTTTTTTACATTTTCATTTACACTTTTTAAACTTTCTGTTTAAGGGGTTAAAAAAAATCCCAACCCCATGAGTTCACTACTCATCTTTCTAAGTGTTGGAAGGGTGTGATTCTCGGCAGTATCCAGACTACCAGATACCCAGCATCTATCCTATTGTTTTTTAATTTCATGTTCACAATTCATCTTACTTTGTGTGCTGAACCAGATTTTATGAAATTTTTTTCCAAGATGTTATCTAAAGCAGGATCAAGTTCCTCTCCAACATCTTCAATTAGCAAAGGTCGGCCAAGAGACAGACAGTCTTCTATATGACTTCTGAAGAACTTGTGGTTCATAGCTGTAACCTAGGAAGATTGGTTCACAATGTAGCATGCATTTGCAAGCACATAGAAAACAGTATAAAATCTATTGCAACTTTCAAAAATTATACTCATCCTGGGATATCTATAGACAATTACATTTGAGGGACTGACACTCACCTCTGCTGAAATGAATGGAAGTTTTGCTTTAAACTTAACAGAATAGGAGATCACACTTCTTTATTGTTATCTATTTCTTTACTTATCTACATATGTATCTAATCACTGTAGCATCTTAATACCTTTTAAATATTAATGGATTTAAGCTCAGAACACTAATGTGAAGTAGGGAAATATTTATAGGGTTCAGGCAGGGAACCAGTGTTACATAGGAGGCCTGGTCTCACATCAGATGTTGAATTTCCAATTCAGTTCCCATTTCACAATATAAAGTCTTAAAATTGCTAAAAATCACATACATTCCTTTTCATTTATTTAAATTTAATAAATTTAACATAAGCCTTTAAGATGATAATTGAATAGCCTTTCCAGGCATCTGTTAAGCCATGGTTTTGGGGTGGTTTTTTCACCAGAAAAAAACCTAGGATAGACATGTTTTTAAAATAAATCCTTGTCTTGCAGGCAGTGCTCTTTGGATAAGGTATAATTGAAATATCTAGAGACACATTACACAGTCTTAAAACAGTATATTATTTAAAAATTAACACTGTGTTCCACCACTCTGTACTTTTAGCTTTGTTATAATGTAAGCATATGTGTATCCACCAAAACAGAATGTTGCCTACATTTCTAGTCCACATGAAACTGAGGGATGAAGTTAATGTCTTAGTGACCAACAATATAACCCTAACAAGACCATAGCAAATTACAATATCCCAGATGTTGTATAATAATCTAAATACTTGGGTATTTAGAGACTTGACATAACTCTGTTTCTCCTGAACTTCACAGGGGAAGAACTCAGATATTTCTAACACAGCTGACACCTGAGCCAGGATGTCTAAAAGCCCATAACTGACTGAATGTTCATCAGGAAAGCTTCCTCTGCATTTAGAGGATGCACCTGTGTGTATTCAAAGCCATGTAAGTTTTGAGACTACTCAGCAGCTCAGTAGTTAAGCTCCATTAGGATTCACGACTTTCATAGGCTGGATATTCCAGGAGGTTCACCGTTGCCACTCCTGAACTCAGCTTGGCAGCTCTCTGAAATCCTGAGTAGGAGATGCAAGTCTCAAAGAAGGTGAAATATGGGATACATCCTTCTCTCTATTTTTTCCTGTTGGTTACTCACACTAGCGTTTCTTGATCCAATTTTTGGGGGCCAAAGTAAGGTCTGACGTAATTTAGAGGAAGCCATGTTACCTACTGTAAGACAGTAGGTTTCACACAGTCATAAAATGCCTAAATTCTTCTGTGAATACAACTCATATGTTTTAGGAGAGCTTTTCATCATATTTTTCATAAAGGCATCCATTTTTCCAAGATCTTTGAATGCTGTCCATTGTTTTTCCATCTCTTCTCAGTCAATACTTCCAGTTTCTAGCTGTGTTTCTACACCATTTTTTGAGCACGTTCAACTTACCAGAAACTGGATTTGGTATGAGATTGAATGTTAGGCCTTTCTTAACACTGCTAGGAAATACAGATCTAGGTCAAGCTCCAGAAGGTTAAGGATTTAGCTAATGACATCATCATGATGTCATCAGCTCTCTGGATGTCACCATCCCTACCTTCATTCTTAGTTTCTTTTTCTTATCCATCACTCTCATTTTGAGTGAAGACTGTATACCATGGTATTCATGGGATAATCTACAGCTGTAGGATAGACTTGATTTATTAACAACTAACTCTTTAGTATCATGCTCGATCTGGCCTGAAAATGTATCATGTGTTTAGATCTTCATCATAACCCATCTTATCGTTATTGGTGTAACAAAGCATGGAGGGTAAGCTGATTAAAAAGGGGAAAAAAAGAAAGTTTTGAATTAAATAGAAGACCCAGATCCCAAACAGGATGCACTACTAGATAGAAAGTGAGAAGGGTGGATAAATTCAGCCATAAATATTTTTATCACATGCATTTAATCATCAAGATGCAGCCTAAATTTGGCCTTTGTGTTTGATATGCCTCAGAGATCACTAGATTTCCATTCTACCTCAGGCCACCATTCTTTTTTCCAATTCCTCCCTTTTTCTTTCCCCTATTTTCCCCTTAAAATGCTTACCCTAAAATGTTATTGCCTTGAAGTACCAACTGCCTGATCCTGGCTGCTCTTAATTTTTCGTGTCAGTTACTTCCCTCTACATTTCTCTTTCTCTATGACAAGTAATTAAAAGATTCATCATCAAAATACATATGGCATAACATATAATTCCAGTTTGCTCTTGAAACTGTCTTTCTGGGACATGACTAAGCAGTACAAGCTATTTCACCCTGATATGGATAGATCACAGGTTTTGCGTCAGTCTTGTTTTAATTTCTGACCAACTATATACAACAAACATCAGATTTAAATTACACATGGACAAAGTATGATGACAGAAAAATAGTTTGCATTGCTAACTATGATGTGAAATGACACACACATAAAAATATTAAATGCACTATTTACCTGGAGTCCATTATTCTTTTCCTTATTTTTAATCCAGATCTTTCCTTGACCTTGTGGATCAATAAGCAAAGGATATCTAGATGCTTTTGTGACAATGATGCCGTTCTGAATTGAAAGGTCATCGTTTGGAAGACCCTGGAGGTTCCATTCACCCACTGTAGCATTGTCAACAAGCATACCAGTAAGGTTCAGGTCCTAATAGAAAATATGTAATTACAAAATTAGCACCAGTTAGAGGAGTTATACTAAAATGTTTGATGGAAGGTTTTTTTTCTTCTGATCATAATGCATGATACATTTGTATTTGGTAGTTATTGTTTATTGTTCCCTTTCTTTAAAGTTCAGTGCCTAAATTGCTGAAGTTGGGCAATAATGAAAGTGAATTCTGTTGAGGCTTTGATGTCCATCAAAGAGTGTTGGAGAAACTCTGAAGCCAGTTCAGTATCTAATGACAAGCTGATTTTGGTATTGGCAAACTCTTTTCTCGCTAGCTCAAGAAGGGTCATCTTGGTCACAAGAGCTTCCCTCTGCTGTAAAGTTGTAAAGGGCTCCCCAAGTATGTATATGAATACAGGATGGTTTGTGGGAGACTCAGAGAAGAAAGAGGAGAAGTGCTATGGATCACTAACCATGAACTATCATGGAAAGTTATTGTTGCTATGGTCACAACTCTTCTCAGCTTATACATTCTCCTAAAGTTTGATTTGCACATGTCGACTAGCCTGCTTTATTTTATTCACTATGAACAGTGACTGGCCTCTCAAGAATGTGTATGTGAAGAAAACAGTGCTTAAAATCACAAACCAAGCTCTCCAAATTAGAAAAGTAGCCTAATAATGAGGTGAGTTTAGAAAGAATAAAATTTAAGGGTTTTTCTTATTTGCTCCTTAGATTTTTCACTCAAGAATTCCTATTTGTAAGCTTTCTCTACAAACAACATGTTTAGAAAGAAAGAAAAATCCTGCGACCCCTGCAAAAATCGCATAATTCAGCATCTGAAGCCTGAAGTAAAATTTCAGATACTGTGAGACTTGTGATACAATTATGAGAGTTAGCGATACCAGTGGTTGCAAGACTCAGAAGCTTTTCTACCCCTATGATTTTTTTACTGATTATTGAAGAATCTGAATGAAGCAACACAAACCATTCTCAGAAGACAGAGAAACTTTAAGAATCCAATTTCCATTTGTGAAAAGGACAGTAAAGCATTTAATAGCCAAAACTTTCAGCAATTGAACCTATAACCATATTTAGCTCCTAAAGCAGATGAGTAGGCTCTAAACAGCTTTGAATTTTTTCTTACTGCAGCAGGAAGTATCAGTCACCAGGCAACTCTGAAGCTTAGCTAATTTAAGTGCCTAACTACACAGATAGATAGCTAATTTAAAAAACACCATTTTTAAAATTGTTATGCCTAAATGACTCGCACACCCAGACACAGACTTAGGCTAATTGAGGAGAAGCTGTAATGTCAGACTCTCTGAGAACAGCCTCACTCGTGACAAATGTACATGGATTTAAGAGCTTAGGCTGGAGCAAGCAGAAGTGGTGTAAACCAAGTTTTACAAAATCCAGGTTTTGTTTAACTTAATTGTTTCAACAAGACACTTCAAATTAAACTAAATTAAATGGGGTGGGTACACAGAAGAGGGTATGACAGGAGGGTATTAATTGATAATACATGGAGATGCAGAGGTGATATTTCCTGGTTCAAAATGTGCAGTGGTCTTTTCTATAATTGGGTGCAAGAGTATTTGTATGTCAATGTCGTGGTTTAGCCCCAGCCAGCAACTAAGCACCATGCAGCCGCTCGCTCACTCCCCCTACCCTGATGGGATGGGGGAGAGAATCAGAGGAGTAAGAGTGAGAAAAACTCTTGGGTTGAGATAAGAACAGTTCAATAATTGAAATAAAGTAAAATAGTAATGATAATAATAACAATATAATAATGATGATGATAATAATAATAATAATATACAAAGCAAGTGATGCACAATGCAATTGCTCACCACCCACTGACCGATACCCAGACAGTTCCCGACCAGTTTCTATACTGAGCATGACGTCATGTGGTATGGAATAGCCCTTTGGCCAGTTTGGATCAACTGTTCTGGCTGGGCCCCCTCCCAGCTTCTTGTGCACCTGGCAGAGCATGGGAAGCTGAAAAGTCCTTGACTGGCATAAGCAGTACTTAGCAGCAACTCAAACATCAGTGTGTTCTCAGCATTATTCTCCTACTAAATCCAAAACACAGCACCATGCCTGCTACTAGGAAGAAAATTTATCCCAGCCAAAACCAGGACAGTCCTGGACTAGTTTGTTGTGTTCAAAATTGAATATATTAAGAACAGGAAGTTAAAGAGTTTATGATGTAATATGTCAGAAATACAAAATATATGAAAAGCCTTTCATTCAATGTCATCCTTCATATCATAGACTTACAGTTCAGAGTGAAAAGTGGATATCTAGAGAGAGAGCAGATTTTTAGTGGCAGTGCATGAGACTGTAGGTGGTAAAAGTGGAAATAGGGTAAATCTTGCTGCGTCCCTGGAAGTTGGTTGTGGCATAACTCCTACCCAACCCAGAAGCCACAGGCCAATCTCCCCACCTCTGCGCCATGCTGTGGGCCTAACTTGGGAGCTGCTGCTTCAAAGACTGCCTGGAAAACTATAGGGGCACAGCAATACCAGTTGTGGGGCGGTATTCTCAACCACATATTCACAAGTTGTTCTTTACAAGGGGATAATTTAAAATATTGAGGGAGACGGTTACAACTGGTGTTTTCTTCAATATACATATTTTCCACTTCCAGTAAATGCTTGATGTGGCTGATTTGCTTGATGTTATGACTGAAATTATGAACACAACACAACATTTGCAAAAAAAACACCAACTAGGGGGGGAAAACCATGACTACCTGATGGAACCCCTTATGATTAGGTAAATCTATTCTAAGCTGGTAAATTTTACCTTGTTTCCCATATTATGCAATTTCCTCCCAGGGCAGCTCACCTCAGACACCATCCCTCTCTCAGATTTGCCAGAGTGATAGCCTATATACCAATCTTGCAATGCATGACAGCATAAAGAGGATCTTAAAACACATTTTTTTAGAAGCTCAGTTGTCAACTGTTCAGATTTTTTATTTATTAAAAATCTGATGGAGTGTGACAGCCTGTAATAACCTTCCAATTATGTACTTTTCCGCAACAGAATGCTCTGAACACTATTTCTCTGCAAGGCAAAGAGTAAGGTCAGGACAGAGCATGAACACTTACATTACTGTACGGAATCCTGCTGTTGTCCATCTCTTTCTTCCACAATTGGAGCAGCAAATTCCTGTACTCCTGATTGAAAGGGCCAGAGTAAGAGAGAAATCCAGTGGCCAGAAGAACATTCCCTACTAAATTAATAATTTGATTTTGAAAGGTTTTGCTGCTTGCTGTCCAACGAATCTGTATGTAAAATATTATAAAGAAATTAGATTAAGCAGGCACAAAACTAAAATGAAGATCTAACTTTAGAATTTATCTCTTTCCGGTAAACAATTGTTCTTCTAACCAGGAGTATTTTTCGTGTTAAATCATTCTTTTCAGAAGTAGAAGTTTGCTTGGAAGAGATGGCAACCACCTAACCAAGTGGAGAAAAAGCATCTTTGCCAACAAGCTGGCCAAACTGGTGAGAAGTACTTTAAAGAAGGAACTAAGTTGGAGGGAGAGGATGACTAATAGTCATGTGAGGAAGTGGAGGACCGGGTTGGCAAACAAACTATGTGGGGTGATATAAACAGTGGGGACCTTGTAATCAATAAAACGGGGCTAATGGAGAACCACCCCAAGCGTATCCACATAAACAAGAAGTGCCTACCAGACAGAACAATGGGGATAGCTTTCATACTGTTTCTGGGAAATTAGCACAGCTGGGCACCTCTCTGAAGTGCTTCTACACTAATCTGCACAGCATGGAGAACAAATGAGGAATTAGAGGTCTGCATGCGGTTGCAGAGTCATGATCTCATGGAGATCATGGGGACATGGTGGGAAGGCTTCCACAACTCGAGTGCTGCAACAGGTGTGTACAGGCTTGTGAGGAAGGGCAGGATGGGAACGTGAGGAGGTGAGTTTTCTTCTATGTGAGAGAGCAGTTGGAATGCATGGAGCTCTGCAGCTGAGACTCTGGGATGGACAATGAGCCAGCTGAGAGCTTATTGGTTAGGATTAGAGGGCAGACCAACATGGGTAATGTTGTGTGGGTCTGCTACAGACAATGTGATCAGGGAGAAGTAGATGTGGTCTTTTTCAGACAATGGGAAGAAACCTTGCATTCACAGGCCCTGGTCTACACCGGGGACTTGAACCACGCTGATATCTTCTGGAGGGACAACACAGCAAGACACAAGCAATCCAGGAGGTTTTAAGGAGTGGACTGCCAAAAAATTCTTAGCACAGGTAACTGAGGATGTAATGAGGGAAGGCGATTTGCTGAACCTCAGACTTGCAAACAGAAATAACCAGTCAGGGATGTAAAGGTTGGGGCAGCCTTGCTGAGGGAATTGAGATTGTTCAGCCTTGAGAACAGACAGCACAGGGGGAATTTTATCAATGTGTACAAATACCTGACAGGAGGGTGTAAAGATGATGGTGCCAGACTCTTTTCAGTAGTACCCAGTGAAAGGACAAGGGGCAATGGGCACAAATTGAAATACAAGAAATTCCAGTTAAACACACAAAAAGACTTTTTTACAGTGAGAGTGGTCAAGGACTGGAATAGGTTGCCAAGAGAGGCTGTAGAGTCTCTGTCTTTGGAGATATCCAAAAACTGACTGGCCAATGCCCTGAGCAACCTGCTTTATTTGACCTTGACTTGGGGTGGGGGGGGAGGGAGGGGGGTGGCTGGATGATCTCCAGAGGTCCCTTCCAATCTTAATTATTCCATGATTCTGTGATTTTCTGAATATTATTTTTTAGTTTTACTTATTCCTTTCTCTCCAGATTTCTGTTCCCTTCCAGTTACTCTGCATGCAATCTTGGACAGGACCTACATGTTTTAAATTTAGAAAATACACATTTAACCCAGTGTCAGTTTTGCCCAAGGCTCCAAGTGCCATATATAGTCTTTTAATTTTTTGTCTGAATTTTCAAAAGTAGAATGGAATAACAACTTTTACAAGACCTCATAGCACAAAGCTTCAGAAGACCCACAATAAGGCACTGTAATTTCCTATTTTGTTGTTGCTCTTAAATTTAGAAATTCACTGAAAAATATGATAAAGCATCTAACATTTTTGACTGATATATTTTGAAGTACAGCTATGCAAACAAATGCTGAAGTCCAGGCCTCACAGGACACAATGGCTGAAGTCAAAGCTCTCACCAATTTTGACTCTGTGTGAAATCAACCAAGGAATTATCAAAGCAAATAGTCAGAAGAGAAAAAAGAGTATCCTGCTTCCTCTGGAAACCTTCAGGCTGAAGCCAGAAAAATCTGCATAGGAAAGGTAAATTTCAAGCTCAGTGCAGAGGATAACGATTAGCCCATAATTCTGTAAAAGGCTCCAGTAGAAATCTGAACTTCAAATATAATTCAGGAAATTAGTCAAGCTTCAAATTCCTATTCTTGTATACTTGGTGAGAAAAAGAGAGTAATCCATCTTATAAATATTTTAGGGCAATTATTTGGGTTAAGCCTAATTCCTCGTCTTATTAAAGCTAAAAGGAATTTGGCTCCTTGGCTTTAAATCTGAACTTTATCTCAATACGAGCCATATGATATGTCATAAATCTTAATACAGAAGAATTAAGTTAACACAAGAAATTGTTTTACTTTGTTAGATACATTACGTTCAAGCAAAAAACATACATATAACTAAAATAGCATCATATGATACCAAGATGTGGCCATGCCTTGAATTTCTTGAGCGCTACTAATGATCATTATGGAGTATTCTCAAAACTGAGCACCTACTTTGTGCTGGAAACCTACTTATATGTGCTAGTACCTTTTCTCCACCTAATCCTTCAATCAGAGCTGTGGCATTGTTCATCTTCCTTCTGCACGCCTCAGCATCATCAAGTAAGGCCTGCTTCTCTTTCATAGCAGTATCATACATGGCTTGTACATGATCTAGTTCCATCTGCTTCTCATCCAGCTGAATTTGTGCATTATTCAGTTCCATTTGGGCAGCTGCAAGTCTTCCCTCTTGCAAGGCTAAATTTGCCTACAAACGTTTAAAAGCAAAGAGTAGTTAATACCTAGTATTTGGCAAGAGCAAATAACATTCATTTAATGGCACAGATTGTACTGTACCGGGTACTTTTTAAAATAACACATGTTTAAGATGACAGCACAGTTTTTTTTTCCTTTTTTACTTTTCAACCTAAAACTGGAACACAAGCATAACATTAAAGTTATTCAATGCAATCTTAAAATGTTTTAATAATATTTTCAGAATGATATATTGATCACACAATGATCACTGATTTGAAATCACAATACACTTGAAATAGCTGTATACTAGATACATGAGGCAACCCATACAATGTTTTCTGTAATATATTCTCAGTGCAAAAGAAAATTAAGATTGTCCTCGTGGATTATAAAATAATAATAATGATAATGAAAACTACTCTTCTTCTCTCTTTTCTCATCAGTTACTTCTACAATAAAAATATACCAAATGCATTTTTTGCTCCTCTGGCAACTAAAACTCTAGAGACTTTTCTTACATCTCTATATAAATTTGAATGATGAGTTGCCAGTCTCATATACATTTACTTGTATATTCCTAACAGGGGAAAAAAAGTATTCTGTGAATTCAGAATGTGTTTCCAGCTATATTTTGCAAAGGATTAGAGACTGACAAAGTTCCTATGAAATTCACACTTACAGATAAAAGTTGCTTCCATTTACTCTGAATATTTAAAACACTTGTTTAAATATCATGTATCTTATTTATATTTTTTTCTGCTATAAGAGTTCTGAAGATGGAAACCAAGAATGTGTAAAAACTCTTTTATTACAAATATGAAACTTGACACTCAGATTACATCACACCAGAAGAGTAACAGTACAAGGAATCTCTGGGATGACTCTTAGTAAACAGTATAACCATGGGTTGGGTTTTTACATTAGATCTTGACTAAAAATATAGATTTAATTCTTATCCAAATGTGCTAAAATCAGAGAATTCTTCTGCCTTTACATAGGAATAAGTGGAAAAAAAAAAAAAAAAGAGGAGCCAATATCATACTTTGAGATCTAGGCATGATAAAAAACACAGCAAGAAGTCTGGTGGATTTCAAAAGATAGGTCTGTGAGCAAGTGTCCTGGTTTCAGCTGGAATAGAGTTAATTTTCTTCC